TCTTCTTCTGTGGCTGTTGTCCGCCGTTCTCCTCTTCTATGCCGACATCCTAGCCCTGGTTCAGTTCACCCAAATCGTTCGTTCATCGTTTCTTGCCACTGTGACTGCCACTGCTTCTGTCTTTCAGCAGCGGCCAAATGATAGTCGCCGCCGTCGTCGTCGTCGTGGGCACATCTTTCTAATTGACTCCACTTGTCACTCATCCTTTTTGTCCTTCTCTCCGAGCGCCCCATTGTCGGCCACATCGCTTGAACCCTTTGCAAGGTATTTCTACGCTGTCAGTCCATCAAGCAGCAGCAGTACTGCACGCACATAAACAGCGAGCGAGACAGTCAACTTTGCCCCTGTGAGACAGTAAGGTCACACCGTGTGCCATTCAGTGCCTGCAGGTCACCAAAGCAATTCGTCATTTTGGTTGACGTTTATAAGGCAGTAGGCAGTATGAAAATGTGCTAGCAAAGAAGCAGGGTAATAGTATCAATTGACATGAAATATCAGTTGACTGACATGACGTGTCCTCTGATGCATCACTCGCCCGACGCAACTTTCACTTTGAAAGGGCTCATATTTGGCTACTTTAAAAGTGTGTCTGCGTGACTGTGTGTATTCACAAAGGTAATCGGCTGTAAAGTAATGAACTCAGCAATGCTTTCAGAGTGACAATGCAAAGAGTTGAGGTGCTTTTATTACGGTCTACAGAAGAAAAGGCAAAGAAAGAGAAAGTGAACATGGGAAGTTTGAACATAGGCGAAAGAAAAAGGAAGATTAAAAATGAACAACATTTTGTGTAAGGAAAATATCACAACATTTGAGTATAATAAATTAAATTTAGTTTTTTGAGGTGAAGAAGGGAGGCAATTTTTCATGGGTTGGCAGTGTTTGAGAGTATGTTGAGGAGTAGTTGTGGTGGTAGTTTATGATTGTTGGTGATGAGCAGAGTGAATTCCAAAGTAGTTAATATGTGAAGCAATAATTTAGTAAAACCCAAAAACAGTAGCAGAACGTGCACCAGGCCCGACTGCATGGCCTAATGATAAGCACCAAAACTAATAGTGGTCATAACCGCCATCGTGGCCGCCGTAGTGATCACCATGACCGCCGCCTCCTCCTCCGTGGCCCCCGTAGTACATTGGGTAGGGAATGTAGTGAGGCTGATTGACAAAATTAAAGTTTTAACTGATTATCCATCAGATAGTTTGGAGTAACTTAATGTTACCTGTGAATAGTGATGACCGCCACCATGACCACCTCCACCACCTCCGCCCAATACAATGATATCGCCCTTCTTCTTTTTGCCTTGAAAAAAAACCAATGTTTAAAAATTGGTTTTTTGGGTGAATTCGATAGTTACCTTTTTTAATGAGCATCATTCCGCCACCATGTCCTCCGCTGTGGCCATAACCGTGACCTCCTACAATTGATAAAGTGATTAATAACACAAAACCAAATTGATGAGCAAATACTAACCACCGCCGCCGCCACCTCCTCCAATGATAATGGTGTCTCCTTTGCCTCCAGCCTGGACCATATCTGGATTAAGCAAACAGGCAAGAAGCAGCACAAACACTAAAAACACAAGTGACTTCATTTTGCGCCAAAGTTTCAAAGTTGTCAATGGTCTTAACTGTTCAACTAAAGAACTACGACAGAAGTGATTACAAGAGTTTGTGACAACTGCAGCATTTATATTGAATTGACGAAGGATTTTTGNCATATCTGGATTAAGCAAACAGGCAAGAAGCAGCACAAACACTAAAAACACAAGTGACTTCATTTTGCGCCAAAGTTTCAAAGTTGTCAATGGTCTTAACTGTTCAACTAAAGAACTACGACAGAAGTGATTACAAGAGTTTGTGACAACTGCAGCATTTATATTGAATTGACGAAGGATTTTTGCAGGAAAGACCAGCAACAGTGATAGCAATGAAGGAGTGAGAAAAACCGAGAGAGAGAGAGAGAGAGAGAGAGAGAGAGAGAGAGATAAAGAGAACGTGTGCCGTAATCGGACAGGCAAAGTCTTCATTTAGTATGCTCCACTGGTCATACATTTGTGGCTTGCAACTGCTGCTGCTGTCCGTCGGTGTTGCAACACCAAATTCGAGCGCACAAACACACATAGACACCAGGAAAATCAATTATCTTTATTTAGTCATTATCATTGGGAGCAACGTCAATAAATCGATTTCACTGACGTTGAATCGGTGCCGACGATGTGCTTGATGAAGTCCAAGGGACGCCAGAGAATCAAATTTAAATGAAGTGCCCGTTACTGCTGCTTCTGTCGTTGTTACAATATTGCATAATCGGTGCGCACACTTCTTAAGCAGGCTCTATCAACAACGACGATCACCCGCACCATCAGCCCTGCACTGGACTCAATTGCCGTCAGGTGATTGCACTTGGTCGAGTTAATTACCGCACCAAGGGAAGCAAACAATGACAACGACAATGACAACAACAGCAACATCAAGTGGCACCAGCAATTGCGGGCAAAAAGTGCGTCCAGAAAAAGGTGCAAGACCAACATAAAAATGGACACGCTCGTAGACACCAGCAGGACCTTGGGAAGAAGCAAAAACAGCAGCAGCAGCAGTGAACTGTGGTAAAAAAATAAAAACATTGCTTTTGTTTTGAATCTCAGCTGTGACAGTGAATTTAACTGTGTGGCTTTAGTTTTTGGCGTTTGGTGGACAATTAAAAACGGGCACACAGAAACAGCAGTTACAGCACCTGTCAACTTTAGCACTACCACTAATTAATTGACCGGGCAATTTGTGTGTATTCGTTGCTGTAATCACATGCAGGCCACCATGCAATACAATCAATCGTATGATGATTTTCCGCATTTATGAGCACTTCTCTTTGTGTTCAACAGCAAAGTTCATATGAGCACAAATTGCAGTATTGCACCAGCGTGCAAAGAAGTGCAATACTGTCTCAGTGAATAATTGCTGGTGGACCACAGAGTAAAAGAAAAAGAGAGAGAGTCACTGTAACGAATCGATAGTTTAAGAAAGAGGACAATTACAGTACGTCACTGTGTGCACACAGATAAGATTAGTTGAACAGCTCTGTTTATTAGAGTTATCAGCATTGCACTAGTTGACTAATACTTAAGAGATCGGAAGAGTTCAAGTTGATGGTAGTGATTACCAGAAAAAAATTGAGAAAAAATGTAAATGTAAATGTAAGCAAGTATTGTGCACAATTTTTAAGAATTGTGTTTGTCTAAAAAAAGTTTGGAGAATTGATTGGGCGTTAAGTACTGTGCTCAGTGTTCCACATCAACTATCAACTTCAGCTTGTTGCGCATTTGGTTCATTGTTCTCCTTTGAGTTCTGGTCCCCTTGATCGTCCAAAGTGGTCGTCTCAGCAGACTCCTTCTTCTCAGCCTCTTCACTAAGGGCCTCTGCCTCTTTTGCTTTGGCCTCCTTCTCCTCAGCCTGCTTCTTCTTCAGCTCTTCCTCCATCAGTTGTTCTCGTTTGTACTGCGCCAACAGCTGATCACAGGACAGTTTGTGGCTGTTCCAGTGAAGGCGTTGGCATGTGGCGTCACAGTACATGACCATTTTGCACTTGGAGCACCGTTTGTCTGGCTTCAGCTCACCACAGGTAGAGCAAATGTTGGTCTCGCTGTCCTGTCCCTTGCCGATGACGGCCTGCGTGAGAATGCTCAGCGCACTGGGCTCATCGCCAATCTCTACACTGGACAGTGTCTGCACCAGCTGCTGAAAGATGGCATTCTCCTGGTAGGGATAGGAGCGGACAATTTGTCGCAGCAGGCGCTCGACACCTTCGGGAAAGCCTTTGGCGTTCAGCTTCAGAAAGCTCTTGGCTAGTGTGTGCAAAATGTTCTCGGCAACCTTCTTACAAACAGAGCCATCCGCCACGTGAATGACGTTCTTCGGTGACTGGCTGAAAGCCTTCTGGACAACTTCCCAGAAAATAAAGTTCAGGTAGTGCACCTTCAGAGAGAGCATCTCCTTGGGCTCACTGCAACGCATCAACTTCTCGCAGATCAGCTCGAGAACGGTGTGAATCATCTTTGGCTCCTCAAAAAGCGCCAAGTTTGTATTGAAGAAGTATAGAATGCGCACTGGATTGACGTTCACCAGGCGAACGAAGGCATGCACTGGATGAATGAAGCGAACCGATAGTCGGGGCGTCTTTTCTACTCCGTTCAGTTTGCTGAAGTACTCGATGGCCTCACGAGGAATAAAGTTGTTGATAACTGCCACCGAACGTTGCTGGCCTACAAAGCCAGCCATTTGCGAAGCATTCCGTCCCACAGAGTTGATAGCGTCAATGTTGGCGCCATGTTCCAGCAGCAGGTTAAGCACTGCCGTGTGTCCGCCAAGTGCGGCAAACATCAGCGCCGTGTACTTGTGCTCGTGGTCATTCTGGTTCACGTTTGCGCCTCGGTCTAGGAAGAACTTCGCCATCTTCAGGTTTCCCTTGTAGGCGGCATGCTGCAAGGGCGACATGCCATTCTCGTCGATGCAGTTGATGTTCACATCACTCGTCGAGACAATGTTTACCACCTCCTGGAAGTCTCCTCCTGAGATGGCCTTTATCAGCGTCTTCTCTGCCGTCAGCTGTTCTTCGCTTTCTTTGGACATCTTCTTTTTCTGGGAAGCAGAGAAGTTCTGCTTCTGTTGTCAATGAAGAGTCGACTGCAGGCGAAGCAGACGGTGCACTGACACTGACGGTAGACCGTAACGATCAGGTGAACAAAACTGTGCTGGCGTCCTAAGTGGTGGCAATTGCAGTCCCGAGAACTACTGAGGTGCTCAAATGGAACAGGGACGCCGTTTGCTGCTGCCGCAGTCCAACTGAGTTTGTTTGCGTTGGCGTGCATTGGGCAAGAGAGAAGGAGAAGGAGATTAGCTGCAGCAGTAGCAGTGGTGGTGCAGCACATGCTCACTATCGCCGATTCCTCCTGTCACTGCCTCTACTCATTCGCCAAATACACAGGCACACTTTGGAGGCATCCATTTGGGGTTTTCTCCAATTCGACCACTGCCTGACAAAAGTGGTGACAGACAGTGGTGGACGGAGGCAGACCGCTAATTAGATCAAGTAGACCAAAACTGGAGACTCCAGTTCGCTCATCAAATAAAGTGATCTCTTGCACACGCTGACACCGGCGCCGGGTGCCTCTCACTTACTCTCTCGCTCTCTCTCTCTCCTTCCTTTATGTTTACTGCAACGAGCAAATGAATGGGTGAACAAGCAAGGGAGGAAAAAGAGGAAGTCGGCTTTATTACGAAAAACAGGGCGCAGTGTCGCAAATGGAACTGTTTCTGGTGGTGCTGGTAGTGCTGCTGCTGCTGCTGTCATTAGTGTCCATATGTGTGGTGAAGAGAAAGAGCGAAGAAGCATTAGCCTTCAACGAGAGAGTGGTAGTAAAACAGTCATTTGCAGCACAAATGTGTGAGTGTGTGAGTCGTTTTCCGAGGATAGCGCAGTAAGAAAGAAAGGAAGAAAGGAAGAAGCAAATGGCCGAGGCAGCGTCAATGATCACCATCATCATCATCAGGTGGTAATTAACAAAAACGTAACATTAAGATCGGCAATCGATTGAGTTCGATTAATTTGTGTGTCACCGTGTGTCGGACGAGAGACGGATGGCTGAGAACGTTATTGGGAGGACTCGTGGTAGGACTATTTTGTAGTGGTAGTAGTAGTAATATTGATAAAATAAATACAATACTTAAAAAAGCTTAAAAAAGTACAAAAGGATTAGGAAAAATAGTTGAGAAAACAAGAAATTGGATAGTTATTATAATTGTTGAAATCAATAACAATATCAAGATAAAAGGTTCAAGACAGTTATAACGCTCTGTTTCAAAAAATATATAGAGAAAGTTATAGAAAAAAATATGTCTGATCATCAAAATAGAGGGAGCTTGCAAAATGGTACAAAACGGAAAAAGAAGAGTTGAATAATTCACAAGAAGGTAAGAAGAAATAGTAGAAGTAGAAGAAGGCTCTATGTACACTTGATACACTATTGACAGGGGGAGAAGATGAGACGGATGAAGCATGCAATTCATCGCAGAGACTTGGGCATTTTCTGTGACCAGTCCATTTCGCGGTAAATAAATCCTGCAGAAATCAAATGTCACCAATTATAGTGGTGCAAAAAACTATCAAGAATCGACTAAAAGAACATCATTACAGTTCATGTTGTTGGAGCTCATGTATCCAATAGAGTTGAGGACGCCTTGGAAGAGGTTGGTTAAGA